GCATGTTGGAGGGGGGGGATGGCTTCAAGGGATCCAGGGAGGTGAGACCGAGGGGCTGGTCCCCTTTCTGATAGGAAAATACTGGCTGGAGAATCGGGGCTTTTGTTGAATTGATGTGCTAACGTGAGCTACATGTCAAACTTCGCAGGGTGTGACTGCGGGAACATCACCAGGGAAGCAAAATTGGTGAATGCTTTTCAAAGTCTTGGCCTCAGTCTGTGCTCCTGTTGTTTCTACAGACAGGATAATATTTTTATCTCCCGGAGATATGGTGAAAGTGAATTAAAAGCTTTTGAGGCAACTGGACAGAGTAGTGATGAATGCCGTGGCTCTGAGCCCCTGAGAAAATTAAATATTGTTCATTCTGTGCATGGCTTGGCTGGTATGAAATAAAGGGGGCATGGGGCCTTGTGGTGAGTTACAAGAAGAAATACTGAGCAATTGCTTCGTTTTACCAAACCTGATCTGCTGTGTGCACTCAGTGAAAGTGGGCTCTGCAGAGAGGTTTTTTTTTTTTTAGTACACGAGAAAGGAAAGTCAAGGTTTTGCAGCTATCTTTAATTCTGCCAGTTTTTCAGAGCTTGGATTTGCAACCTCCATAACATTCTCTTACCACAGCATTTTATTGTGGCAGTTTTAGGAAAGGCTGGCGGTGCAGATGATTTCTAAATTTGCATACTGTTTTCTATTATAAAACCCTGTTTTATTGCTTATAACACTGCCAAACTGCAGGATTTTGGGGCAGGAATTTCCCTCGCTTTGTTGCTGCTAGATACTGGTTTTAAATTAACTTTATTTTTAGAAGTGGTAGCTCAGAACCGCAGCATATTTACCTTCCTCCTCTTCCTGCAAACCTTTTTACTCTAGATTTTGGTAACCTCCCCCCCAAAAAAAAACCCCAAACAAAAAAAACCCCAACAACAAAAACCAAACCCAAGCAAAACAAAAACCAAAAACAAAACATACTTTTCTTTGAGAAGCTTCATCTCTTCTGAGGTCTGGAGGAGGCACTTTTGGTTATAAGAACTACTGAGGTGGCCAGAGATGGTGTTTGTGGTGAGAGGTTCCTTCTGCTGGTGTCCCGTGTGCCAGCAGTGCCAGTCTTGCTCCAGGACTGGGGAAGGAGCCCGTTTATTTGAGCGTGGGCAGGAGGGAAAAGTCTGAGCTGAGCAGAAGAGCCCTGGAGAGAAACAGGTATTCGGAGGCAGAGAATCAGCTCCTCAAAAAAGGAGGCTGGGGGGAGGTGGGTGGAGAAGGGCGCTGAGGATGGGTGGTGGAAATAGCTGGGTAAGGAACTATTAAAAGCTGGTGAGGGGCTTTGGGAAGTGAGGAATGCAGCGAGATGAGACCTGCTTTTCTTCCCGTTGCGCTGGTGGCACTGGGGTGCCTTGGTGGCAAGGCTGGGCGGGCAGCGGGGCTGCGTGCCCAGGGGAAGAGGCGGGCGAGCAGGCGGTAACGCACGCGTGCTTTGGGAGCGACCTGACGCTCCCCGTCCGGCTCGTGGGGTTGCAGGACGGGGGGTTTTATTTGTTTTCTTTTCTTTTTTTTTTGATTACCTGAACTTATAATGGTTCTGTTAGGTAGTGCTGATGTTTCCCCTGTGTGACCGGAGCTGAGCCGTGCTCGCATCCCCGAGTGGCTGGTGCTCCAGGCGTGGGGTGAGCAGGTCAGCCCTGCTCTGCCTGGGAGGAAGGTGGAGAAAATGTTTAGTGTAATTCTTACTGTAGCCACAATTCTTTGCTTAAGTTCTTTTTTTACTGCTAAGAAATCTTGGGGAGGCAGCCGAAGGCTTTTAGTTTTGTTTGGGTTTTAGGTTAGTGGCCATTGTATCTAGTTCCTGGTTTAAACATTTGTATCTGAGTTCTTTTTTTCAAAAGACATATTAATTAAATTATCGCTTGAGGAATTGTAATATGAAGCATTTTGGGGGACTGAAAAGCATTCAAAGTCCACGTGTGTATTGACAGAAACGTGGAGATTTTGGCAGAAAATCTGCCAAGATTGGTGTGAGGTGGTCTGGATCATGACTGAAATGTGTTGTGGGTTTTCGTTTTTTGGTGTGGTTGTTTTTTTTTTTTTTTTATTTTTTTATTTTTCTTCTGTATTTTGTATTTCCTCAAATGGGAGGAAGAGAACCTTACTCCAATGTGCCTAGCCCTAGCTTTATACATATATCTATATATTTTAAAATTTCCAATACTTGCTGAAAAATGCTATCTTGGCTAGTCAAAATGATTGTGAAATTTTTGTGCAAATGTGAGGGAAGGGGGGAAAAAAGGGAGAGAGGAGATACTTCCATCTTGAAACAGGCCTAGGTTTAAAAAAAAAAAATCCAAATGATAAACTTTGATTTTTATTAATATTGAAAATTGTTCTGTCTGAAACTGTTTTCTTCAAATTCAACTCAAGCACTTGATTGAAGAAAAAGATCCATTAGCCTATCTTGGTGATTTACGAGTACTCATTTGGCATCCTTTTGCTTATTTTATTTGTTTCTCTAAACCTTAATTGCAATCCCAGCTAATTGGAGGATTGTTTGTGGTGGGGCCAGGTGGAGCCCCGGGGGGGGGTTTGGGGCACGTGTGGGGGCAGTGGAAAGGGAGCAGCGCCCAACCCAGTTACAGGTGGGACGTGGTTCTGGTTTGCCCTGGTCTGGGAGGGCTGAGCTGGGGCCCTGCCCGGGGCTGGGGCAGGGCAGGTGGCTCTCGAAGATGATGATGATGCAGAAAACAAGTGATTCCTCCTCAACCCTTCGATCTTAATTCCTCATCCCACGTGGATGAAACGCAGTGTTCCAGCAGGTACCTCCCCGGAGCGAGTGCTGCGCTTACCTGGGACTACCCCGAAGCAGCTGGGCTTTACAGGACTAAAGCGGGTTTTATTTTTATTTAGGGAAGGGGAGGAATATTGGGTGGAGATGTTTAACTGCTCTTCAAAAGCCTGCCATTGTTGCTGCTAACTTCATCGCAGCCTGTTGCACCCCTGAAATCTGCCCAGCTAGCTAACGCATCGCAGCCGACTGCAGTGGTTTCTGTCCAGGCTGTTTGTTTAAAAACTGCACAGCGTTGGGAATAGAAGCTTTTTTTTTTTTTCTTTTTTTTTCTCCAGTCGCTCATCGGCGACAGCTACGCTTCTGAGGTTTACTCGCTTCTATCAAAACAGGAGCCGACGAAGAAAAAAATTCTTCTATGTTATTAAGATCTTGGGGAGGAAGTGCCTTTGTATCTCAGCTGGTGCTGAACAAATAACTATTCTACTCAACACTACAAAAGCCAATTACAGCCGCCATGGTGACAGAGACTGTGTGGGGAGGGTTAACACTTCAGCTGGTTTCTCCTTTTCTAATAAAGATCTCTGTTAATTTGTTTTTTTTTTTTTTTCCTTTGTGATTTTTCTTCCTATAATTAAACTGTTCCTGTTGACTAGCATGAAAATGAATTGTGCTAACCTGAAACACGTATTCCTGAGCCCTTGAAATTTTAAATCAGCTGGCTGTGAATCACTTCAGCAAGAAAAAGAGCTATTAGTTGTGTTTATATTTAAGACAGATGGAAAACTTTGTTAATGATTACATAGTAAAATAGCACTTGGAGAATAATTTGAAGAGCTGTGTTTAAGTCATGCCATCTTCCAGCTCGTTGATTCAAATGAACTATAATTAAAATGCAATCTAAATTTCTGATATTTTGGAACTATTTCAAATGAACATGACCTGTTACAGAAGCTCCCTCAGCGCTGTTTTTCACCTGGTGTGCGACTCGTTAAACAAGAGTAGGAACCGGCCCAGTTGCGTGAATCTCGTCTCCCTGCGCGCGTTGGTGTGACGGTGTGCGGCTTGGAGAGCGCTCTGGCAGGGACAGAAATCCATTTTATTAGAAAGTAATGCTGCAGGGTGAGGTAGTGTGGCAAGAGTGCGACGATGTGTAAAGAAAGCCAGGCCAGGAGGGAGTTAAATCTGGAAAATTACCAGTTGTGATACTGGTGGATTGAAAAGCTGGGGGTTTTGAGAGCCAGGATAGAAAAGTGTTACGTATAAAATTACGTCTAATTAAGGTAGGTTGGTTTAAAATACAGACAAAACTTAGGAGAGCTTCTTTTTTAATTCTAAGAAACTTCTTTATGTTCTAGAAAAAACGGGTAAGGACCTTCTTCTGTTTGTTTTCTTTTATAGGCACTTGGGAAGTTATCCAGCAGTTCAGTGCTGAGAGAGCGCTTTGGGAGCATGGCCGAAGCAGAACTCCCAGTCTTGACACGGAATGCAGCTTCTAATGGCAAGTGTAAAGGTTTAAATTGTCCTCTAACTTACAAATCTGTGTTGAGGGTAGATACGGGGCCCTTGCACTTAGCTTTTGGTGGCCAAACTCATGGTTACAGGCAGGAGCCTGAATAAGTGGGTGAGCGATTGCAGCGTTCTTTTGCAAGGCATCTTCGGTGGTGGTCAGAATTCTTCTGCAAGATAAAAATTAATTGGCTTTTGGTGTTCAGAGGCCGTATTTAAAATGGCACGATAAACACGTTATTTGGGGAAGATGAAAGTTTCAGTTTTCTCCTTTGTGTTAATATGGCTAATAGTCAATAAAACGACGACTGTCATCTAGAGCTGTTAGCACTGCTTTGTTTGTCTTTTTGTGTATTCTTTATTAAAATTTGCTACGCTGCGTGAAAGGTGTCTCTATTTTGCACGTGTTTCGAAATGAAGGCAAGCCCCATAGGCTGTCCGTGACACGTGCCCGTCAGCATGGTTGGTATTTGTAGAAGGATGGTTGAAAACAGAAAGTACCTGCATATATGGAGAGAAACAGATACTTTAAACATCTCCACGCTGCACTTTTCTATATGTTTTTCAGTTCAAGCTGTGTGCACTTGGCTAATTCAAACTTTCTGTATTTCTTTACTTGCAGTGGGATGCTTGCCTTTGCTTCCATGTTGGATTCTAACTGTGGGAGTTTGAGACATCTCAGCAACTGCTGTCTTTCCTCAGCTTTTGAGCCAGAAACCGAGTAAAGCAATGAGGAGATTTGTTTACTGCAAGGTGGTTCTGGCCACTTCTCTCATGTGGGTGCTTGTGGACGTCTTTTTACTTTTATACTTTAGCGAATGTAATAAATGTGATGACAAGAAAGAGAGGTCTCTGCTGCCTGCTCTGAGGGGTAAGTGCCAAGTCTAAGCTATCTTTGAAGGTCATAGATTTTTTTTTTTTTAAAGTATTTTGGCCTCCTATATGTTTCTCTATACTTTCTAAATTATTTTTCCATTTCAAACAGACAAAATACCAGGATCTGAAGTACTTTGTTTCTATAGTGCTTTAGTGGTTTCTAAATTAGTTTCCGTTATCTTAGTGTTTGACCTTTGCCAGAATGAAGCCTGAGCCTTGTGTGTTTTCTTCAGCAAAACTAATATAAAATGTCTCCGATAAGTGGAAGAGAAAATTGAAGTAAACATATTAACAACCCTTTTTGTCGGAAGTCACTTGACCTACAAGAGAATTGGTGCTCTCTGATTATTTTTATTTGTGAAAGATACTTACTTGCAAGCTTGTTTTTAAACTCTTAACTGGCTGAAACAATAGTTTTAAAAGATACTTCGGTTCCCTCTACTGTGTGAGAACATTAGGATCAAGTCTGGAAGGCAGCTGGAACAGATTATTGTCTCACTCCAGATACTTTTAGCAATGTAATTTACTCCGGGGGAGTTTGTGAAGACTGAACCTTGACAGAACCAACAAGTTTTGGGGTTTGTAATAGCTGATTTCCAGGGCAGTCATTCCCAGGCCAGGTGGTGTGCTCCTGTGCAGCCAAGAGATGCGGGTACTCGTGGCTTAGTTCTTGAAGTGAACTTGGCAGTGACCCGTAGAAGCTGGGACGCTGTCTCCCGGATGCCATTAAGACACTAAATCTGTGGGAGATTCACCAGAAAAAGAAGGAAGAGAAATCTATGAAATATTGGGGTGGGCTTTTCCTTGGGAATGAACATCCTATTCTTAAGGAGTTTAGGCTCAGCATATGGAAGAAGGAAGAGACGTTGAATCCCTGATAGGATCAGAGCAAGATTAATTGGAACTAGTGCAGCTGCTCTTGTAACGTGGTAACTGTTGACAACAGACAAAAATTGGGTCTAATGCTGTTCCTCTCTTTATAAATACGTATGTAAGTTCAACTACTGAACCTCAGTTTTGTCCGCAGGATAAATCATTGTCATCCCTTTAAAATCACTTCGGGGTTATGGTTCAGTTGAGTTTATAACTTTTGCAATAATTTGAAATGAAAATACCATTCAGTGATGGGTTTGTCACATGGCAGTCCTTACTCAGAATGTATTTGGAAGACTTCACTTTGACCTTCCAATCACATAACTAACTACATGGTATTAAAAATAAAAGAAAAAAAGTTATTTTTCCAAATGAAAAGGATATTGCTTGTCAGGTTTTTTTCTGTGTAATTGAATTACTGTAGTTTTAAACAAATATTAGGCAAGAATCTGTCACAGCATGAATAAAACTACCCGTTTTACCTATACTGTCAGCTGCAGAGGAGTAATCATAGATTGTTTTTGAAGTATCCATTGGAATTTTCTCAAAATTGATTACATTTTGTGAAATGTCTTTAATTGGTTGGGTTTTTTTTTTGCTGTGTAATTGGATAATTTGTAAAGAAAAAATACTATTAGAGTGATAGATTTAATTTGAACAGTAACAACTTTTAAGTTCCTCTAGGCTAAAAAAATAAGGCATAAATACATGTCCCTGCCACCACCACTCAAATTTAAATGAAAATGTCTGGAACTTGCAAAAGTATAAATTCACCTTTTTGACAAGTGGTTTTTGTCCTCATGACACTATGTGATCCTTGACATTTATTTTGAAATAGTTTGTTGCCTTTGACTTCTCGAAATGACTTTTTTACATTCCACTTGCTGAGTTCTGTGCGCTCTGCCTGCTATAAAGAGGTGAAGTTTCTGCACAGAAATTCTAAAAGCAACACTTCTTGTTCTTGGTTTTGAGAAACAAGTTATATTGAATCTATAACATTATTTCCACTTTAAAGCCTGGTTAAAAAAAAAAAAAAAATTGGGTCTGTTACTGTAATACACATATTCTGTGTGATCCCAGAAGAATATTTGATTACTATACTTTTTATACGATTATGAAAGCGTAGGTAATGTTTGGGGACGCTAGGACGGTTTTATTGGAAACTGATTGCATGTCTTTTTTTGGAGATTACTGAAATTCTAGAAGGCTTCTGTCACAGAGGAACAAAATGAGAAAAGGCAGAGTTAATCTACTTTATTGTTAAGTTTTTGATTGGTTGTTTAAAAGGAGAGAGGAAAAAAAAAAAAGCCAATACTTTAGAACTTAAAAACATGGCCTTCACTGATACCTCTACTCTGCTTGGTGACATACGGACTTAAATTGCAACAATTCCAGTAAACAAGAATCACTGAGCATTCGCATTTAAAAGGTTTTTGGGTTTAGGAAAAGATTGTTTAGTAGATGAGGGCTGTTAGTTGACTGAAAAATGACTCACATAAATAATTGTAAGAAACCCACTGTTTCTCCTTGGCAGTTATAACTGAAGGTTTGGTAACTTCGTATGTAGTTTGTGGGGTTTTGGTTTAGTGTATCTACAGGCTTGAAATACTCTACAGACTATTCCAAATATGTGTATCTGTTCTTGAATGAAATTTATATTCCAGTCCACTAAATTCAAAGCTAACTTGTCCTACTCTTGGGTTTTTCCAATGTCCTAAATATTTGTTGTTATACTAGATAGCCATATGTATTGCAACGTCATTATGCATATTTGAAAATAGAAAAAAACCCAGAGTAATTTTTAACTTTGTTTTGCAAAATGTCTTCGTTTATTTCTGCCGAAACTTTGTGTCTTCTGGTGGAGTAATTCGAAATGTTTTTTAAACTTCTGTAGCTTCCAGTGCAGCAGACAACTAAAACCTCTTTGCAGTAAGTGCCATGAGCTATTACGATGGAAATGCAGTGTAGTGCTGCTTTTTTGCTGTAAAGTACCTGCATGGGTACCGTTACCTTTGTCTTATTAATAGTGTATTTGTCAGCCTCTGAATACCTCTAATTGAGAATGCAGATTATCTGTAAACGTAAAAAGCAACATAATTACAGTATTTCCACAAGGATATTAAAAAAGACGCAACAAGAATCAATATACTAATAGAAATTTAAATTAGGCAGGGTAATCCAGTATTTGAAGTCACGTAATCCCCCGCCCTTGTCATTAGTTAGAGAGGAAGGATTCTGCTGACGTCGAATGGTGTGTTTAGAGGTGAGAGGGGGGGAAACTTCTTGTGCCTTTTTCAGTCGGAATTACTGCATTCTAAATGATTCATAAAGACAACTTCACGGTGGCTGTTGAGCTGTGAGCAGTGACAGTCCATAGACTGGAACAGCTGTCGGAAATCCCCCTCTGATGTCTGGCTGCACATCTCTAAGTGCACAAGTGACACATATAAAAGCTGAGCGTTACAAAAATGAGCTGGGTTAGTGGTGTTGCTGAACAACCTGCAAGTGTTACCCTAATCAGCCCCGAGTTGGCTTTCGGTCAAGTCATCTTTACTTGCCTCTGGCTTTGTGACATTATTGAAAGAACCAACATTTAGTTCTGAAACTTGCTTCTTCCTCTGGAAGAAAATGACTGTTGGACAGCCTTCCAGCAGCCTGTGTTTAGCAGTGGCATATGCCGAAACTGTGAAAATATCCTATCAGTAGGTCAGCAGATCTGCTTCCCCTTAGTGTAGGGTTGAGTTATGTCACTGCTGCTTTCTCCGAACGTTTTAGTGTAGGTGTTTGAACATGCCTTGGGGTGCCTAATGCAGTGTTGTTTGGGCAACACTGTCTGATAAATCTTGCGGCGGTGACGAAGGAATAAGTTCCCAGGATGTGCATCAGACTACGGGGAAGCTCTTTCAAGAGCAATCAATAACACAGAAACAGGATTGCAGCCCCTTTCCATTCCCGGAGGCTCCTTGCATCTTACAGCAAGCTGCCCAAAAGCATCAAGATTTCCCTGGGAACTCAGGTTTTACCTTAAATTTCAGGAGGTTTAGAGTAGGTCTGACCATGCCTAAACCATTTCGGAAGAGCTAGGAGAGATCTAGGTTTTATGGAGAGCGTCACATTAAGTAGAAGCTGGGTCTGGCTTCTCCCCAAATGGAAATAAAATGCGTATTGTGGTGGGAAAGGAGGCAGGGCAGCACTTAGCAGTGCTCCTGCTAGGAGAGAGCAGTCTGGGGAGGCGGTCCTTCTCTCTTTTTCCTCCTCTCTGTGGGGCCCTTCCCGCAAAAGCAGGAGCCAAAGCTGATTTACGGATTGAAAACATCAAGAGCCAAGGTGCACCAGTCAGCACTTTGCTTAGACAGGGCTTTGGAGGGAGGGAACAAGTTGGCGAGTCTAAAATAAGCCAGACGTGCAGAGCGTGTGCACGAGACCGGAGGGGCATGGCGCTGAGTAAATTGACGGGGGAGGCACAGCGTAGCCATCGCTTAATTTCTGAAGTTTGTGAGAATTCACAACGTAGGGCACTGCCTCTTGAAGGACCCTTACCGCAACCTGAGCCGGCGGTGGACTCAGCACCACCGGGGAGAAAATAGTGCTCGGTGTTTCGGATATGCTGACTCGTCTTGGGCTCCCGGTGCAGTATGTATTCCTTCTTTGACTTCCAGCTAAGAATGGTGCAACTCGGTCATGTTCAGTGCTAGTATTACTTGAAAATGTCGTCATTATTTCTCAAGGACAGGCCTGGTCCTTCCAGAAAAGCTGGCTCTCAAGGTCTGTCGGTGTGGCACTGTATCAAGGGAAGTCTTTTTTTGTGCACAAACTAGAAGTCGGTTTACTCGGCACAGTATGCTTACAATGAAGGAAATGTTTAAACTATACTGGAACACTATTAAATTCCAAGCTGTGAGATTGAAAGGAATCTTGCAAAGAAGTTACGGTACCTAAAAGCTGAAGCCATGTTCCTTTTATTTAAAAAATGGCTCGAGCTTTCCCTTTACTGCTTCTATTGTCTTCTAGCAACTCATGATTGTAAATACTTTCTTACTAACTCTGAAAGTTTTGTTTTCTGAACACACAAATGAAGTGCTTTTGAAAAAATATTCAGTGTGTAATCCTAAAAAGCTAAGA